TGAACGCATTAAAGTCAAACGGGCGAAACAGGGGGTACACGGGAGCGAACTTATCCAGGACGATCCAACATCATTTGGGGGGTGTAGAAGTCCCACCCACCCCCGCGGCCATTTCTCCTGGAGCCACCCTTGTCCCAACGGAAAGTGCGAAGAGCCGTAGCGTCCCGACGACTCGTATTTCTTCGTTCGTTAGATTATATTAGAGAGAAAAACATGCCGGAGGGGTAGTGACGACGAAGACCCCAATCGGGGGTTGGGGAGGTCCCGAAAAGTCGTGGAAAACTCCGGGGGGTGTCTTCGAGACCCCATGGAGGGGCAGAAATTTATCATCCTGATTTATTTTCACTTCTGCTCGTATCTTAGCAGAAGCCAGGAAGGGTGCATCCCCTAATCTACTGGCCAGGGATGAAATGAAATGACGAATGGCGGCATTCGGTCGGATTTGCACCCTGCTATCACTTCGAGATATCACCACGGAAGGAGAGCATCCCTTCCAAGTTGCGGACGACTTGGTATTTTTTTTGTTCCTTTCTTTCTTCTGATTACAGGCGTCCCTTTATTCACGTTCCACGTGGATTCGTTTGTTAAAGACTTTTACGTAAATATAATTGTCGGTTATCTGACGCGCCAACTTGTGTTATCACTTGAGTATTAAAAAATGACGTTAGTAACGATAATGGTATAGATGGATTTCATTTTACCGACGTCGAGTAAATTTCTCACCGCCTTTCTTATCAGCTTAACAAGATATTTCATTGATACCATGCAAAGAAATATTTCTTTGGTTCAGTAAACTTTATTCTAATTAAAATTCTGTATTTACTAATTTTTTTCAGAATTTTTCAGGGGGTGCAATGTCTTCCCCCCCTTTGTTTATCTTAAAGGTGGAGGGGGTGGAAAGACTTGTAATATATAGTTGAAATATTTCTTTGGTTCAATAGAATTTGTTCTAATAAAAATTCTTCATTTACTAATTTATTCACAATTTTCCAGGGGGTGCATATCTTCCCCCCTTAGTTTAGCTTGAAGGTGGAGGGGGTGGAAAGCGTTATAATAACAACATAGTTGAAATATTTCTTTGTTCAATAGAACTTGTAATTAAAATTCTGTATTTACTCATTTTTTCAGAATTTTCCAGGGGGTGCAACATCTCTCGAAGGTGAGGGGAGTGGAAAGCATTGTAATATAAACAGTTGTATTATTTCTCTGGTTCAATAAGATTTGTTCTAATTAAAATTCCGTATTTATTAATCTTTTCAGAATTTTCCAGAGGATGCAACATCTCCCCCCCGACTTTGTCTCGAAGATAGAGGGGGTGGAACGAGCTGTCGCATTTCCAAACTTCGCCAGGACCTCGAAGGGTCGCTTAAAGGAGGTCCGTTCAAAATCAGGGGTGAGGGGGTGGAAAATGTTATAATATAAACACAGTTGAATTATTTCTCTGGTTCAAGAAAATTTGTTTTAATTAAAATTCTGTATTTACTAATTTTTTCAGAATTTTGCAGGGGGTGCGACATCTCCCCCCCGACTTTGTCTCGAAGACAGAGGGGGTGGAACGAGCTGTCCCATTTCCAAACTTCGCCAGGACCCCGAAGGGTCGCTCAAAGGAGGTCCGTTCAAAACCAAGGGCGAGGGGATGGAAAGCGTTGGGGGGATGAAAGAGAGAAACGGGGGGGTGAACTTCCCGGTCCGGCAAGACTCCGTCCATAATCATCCCCCACAGGACCTCGTCCACCCGCGAGTCCTCCCGGTCCAGGATCTTCGCCGGGACGCACCCCATCGCCCGAATGAAAAGGCACCCTTACGCCATGGGGTAGGTCCTCGGCGACGCTCAATTATGCCGAGTGCCTGCGAGTGAAGCTCAGAACTCGAGGAAATTCCGCCCCCTCGTCCTGGACACAAAGGGGGTTGTATTAATTGTCCTGCTTATCGACAGGAAACGGGATAATTACAGCCTCGTATTTCGAGAGAAATTAAAAGGAGCGGCTTGGATCGAGAAAGATGGGTGCGTTCGGACGAGGGGGTGGATCGGGAGGGGTGCATCAGGATGGACAATGCAGGGGTGGCTCGTTAAAAGTTCCGGAAGGGGTGAGACGAGCACAGCTCATGGCGCCACTCGAGATGCCGGAAGTAACCAGCGGAAAATTTCGGGGTTGGGGGTGGAGAAATCGAGCGTGGAAATTTAAACGTCCGAACAGGCACCGCCGAACGTGGAATATACGTATATTAATCGTATATGAATGTTTATTGAACGTACACTGAGAAAAAAATTTGGTTGAATTAAATAAGTACGGTTATTTGGCTGTGATTTTATTCATTCAACAAATGATTTTCTTAAAGTAATTGGACAACAGTTGAAATAAATAATCGTTGTAGTTAGTTTTAAAAAATCATTTCACTAGAATATTTAATTCAATTAACCGTAGACTCGTTTGTTTTAAAGAGAAAATCATTTGGTATAAGTGAATGTTTAATTGGAGGAATCATACGTATTAATTGAAAGCGGTTAATTGTTTCAAGTAAATGTCATATCAATTCAATCGTGAGTAATGATTCAATGAAATAATGCACATATGTTTCGTGCAATAAACACATCTAGTTGTTACAATCTTTTAGTATAGTTCCTCTAAGTAAGCTTTCATTGATGCATTCTAATTTTCTATTTCACGCAAACAAGTCTTCAGTTGATTTCGTTCGAATATTTAATTCAATTAACTATAGATTCGTTTGTTTTAAACCGAAAATCATGTGGTATAAGTGAATGTCTTACATATATGTAAGATATATATATGTATGAACTCTATTGTAGATCCACTCAAAGGCTAGATGTCCGGACATGGTACGTAATATATACGTATATCGTAGATATCTACAGTAGATGGTGTATAGATATTCATATATATCTGGAAAAAAACTACCCCTGAAAGGGATATTTTTTATGAAATCTATTCTGCTACAGCATGGTAATGTCGGTTTTTTAAATCGAGCGTGGAAACACAATCTGTAAAATGGGTTGAACATTTCTAGAAAATTATGAAACTATCCCAGAAATGGATTCTTGAAATGAAATTCATTACTCACAGGATTTGTTGAGAAAAATATTACATAAAATCAGGAAAACGATTTAACGCAAACCCTTTAGATAATTGAGACAAATTAGTTCGCTGAAGTGGACTAAACTTCGGTTAACTAAACTAAAACGTTTCCGATAATTAACCAAATGTAGTGAATTAAACAAATTTATTCAGTGAAGAGAATTTTTTTTTAATGTGTGGTTTTAATCACCTCAGCGATTATTCCGCCGATTATCTGTGCAGGTGGGTATCGAGGTTAATAATTTTGAATTAAAATTAACCCAACCCCTCTAATTAATTGAAAGAAACTAGTTCGCTGAAGTGAACTAAACTTCGGTTAACTAAACCGAAACGTTTCCAAAAATTAACCAAAAGTAGTGAATTAAACGATTTTATTCAGTGAATAGAATTTTTTTTAATGTGTGGTTTTAATCTCCTCAGGGATTATTCCACCGATTATCTTTGCAGGTGGGAACAGGGTGGGGGTTGCAGCAAAAGGGGTGCGCTATCGAGGTTAGGGTACCATGGGGAAGGAGAACGAACCCTCGGGGTCGTCTAAATCATTCGGAGATAATCTCATGGGCCCCGAGCCACGTCCTCGACCCCGAAAGGGTTGTGGGAGGATTTAGGGGTGGCGAAAGGAGCGAACACCCCCCCAGCACCGGGGAAGAAAATCAGTAGTCGCGGAAACGCCGTGATTGTTCCCTTTCCACGAGTAAACGGCGGCCCCTCCTTATCAGCCCTTATCCCGCGACCCTTCGCCCACCCTTATCCGCCCTCATCCTCCCACCCCCCGAGGGGTTGCTAATTGATTTTAGAAGTTCCATCGCCCATCGCTCCTCTCAACCCCCTCGGCGCTGTTTCGACCAACCCCAACCCACCCCTTACAAGTAGGCCCAAATGCACGTAGACGCCCCCACCCTCCTAGAGTTTATGGTGGTTAAGACTTAAGGGTGTCTTCGGAGCAAGAAGAGCCCCCAATCCCTAATTCCAGAGAGCACCCTTCCCGGATAAGGGAAGACTCTTGGGCATCGGAAACTTCCATCCTAACGAGGCCTGTCCTCTCGAGGTGATGATAATGGCGAAGATGCGTCTCGCCACCCCCGGGATGCAAAAATCGAAAAAAAAAAACAACCACCCCCTTTCCTACCCAACTGAAAATGGAAAATTTGCCCCGGTGGGAAATCGGATATATCGGTTGCTTCGATTTTTAAATCGATATCTAGATTGCGAGGCTGGGAGATAGCGAAGACGCGTCTCGTCAACCCCCACTTGCAAAAATCTAAGAAACCAAACACCCCCTCCCCTACTCTGCAGATATATGGAAAATGAAATTTGTAATATGTAAATCGGTGGTGGGAAATCAGATATATCAATCGTTTCGATTTATAAAGGTATATTCAAATTATGAAGTTTAATGATGGCGAAGACGCGTCTTGTCAACCCCGACATGCAAAAATCCAAAAATCAAACACCCCTCCCCCCCTACCCTGCAGATATTTTGAAAATTAAATTTGTAATATACAAATCGGTGATGGGAAATCAGATATATCGATTGTTTTGATTTATAAAAGAATATTCAAATTATCGAGTTTGATGATGGCGAAGACGCGTCTCGCCAACCCCTAAATGCAAAAATCCAAAAAACCAAACACCCCCTCCCGTACCCTGCAGATATTATGAAAATGAAATTTGTAATATGCAAATCGATGGTGGGAAATCAGATATATCGGTTGTTTTGATTTATAAAAGGATATACAAATTATGAAGTTTAATGATGACGAAGACGCGTCTCGCCAACCCCTACATGCAAAAATCCAAAAAAAATCTCGTCCCACCCCTACCCCTCTGATATATCTTTTTTATCATTTTCCCGTTATCAGAATGATCTGCCAAGGACGAAGAACTCGGCCGCGCGAATCCAAGATGGCGGCTGCCGAGAGTCTCCGAAGAGTGGGTCCTCCGGAGGGTGGGTGTCCTCCAGGGGGTGGGGGCGTTAATAGGTCGAGGGTCCTGCAAGAGGACGACGCTCTCGGCTTTTTAAACGCGAGCGGCCGCGGAAAAGGCGGGGATTTCGAGGTTAGGGGCCCCGAGACGAGCGAGGGGTGCACTCGCCCCCGGCGTCTCTCGACGCCCCCGCCGTGAACTCCCCTCGCGGGGGCAGACGAGACGCGCGGGGGTGGAAGTCGAGGGTCGTAATCACCGGCGTTGCAACAATGCACCGCCCGGGGCGAAAAGCGTCCGCCATTTTCGCCCCCACCCTTGCCCACGAAAATATCTCGCCCGATAAACTTCCGGTTTATTAAAACTCAACCCCCGAATCGGGATCGAACGCCTCCCTTATCGGACCTTTGGGTTACGGGATAACGACCAGTTTTTTTTACCCACTCGATTAGCGCCTTTGAAGGACGCGATATTTGGCTGTTCCAGGAGTTTGCGAACAACCTTTTTTGCGGTAAATTTATTTATAGTTCATTGCATTTTATAGTTGCAATCGTATTAGTGTCTCTAGAGGACGCGATATTTAGCTGTTCCTGAGTTTGCGAAGAACCTTTTTCGCGGTAAATTTATTTATAGTTAATTGAATGTTATAGTTATTATATATAGTCTTATTAACGCCTTTGAAGGACGTGATAATTGGTTGTTCCAGGAGTTTGCGAACAACCTTTTTCGCGGTAAATTTATTTATAGTTCATTGAATGTTATAGTTGTAATCTTATTAACGCCTTTGAAGGACGTGATAATTGGCTGTTCCTGAGTTTGCGAACAACCTTCTTTTGAGGTAAGTTTGTTTATAGTTAATTGCATTTTATAATTCCAATCGTATTAATGTCTTTGAAGGACGTGATATTTGGCTGTTCCTAAATTTGCGAACAACCTTTTTTGCTGTAAATGTATTTATAGTTCATTACATTTTATAGTTGCAATCGTATTAGTGTCTTTGGAGGATGTGATCTTTGACTGTTTTGCATTTTATAGTTGCAATCGTATAAACGCCTTTGAAGGACGCGATATTTTACAATTCTTGAGTTTGCAAACAACCTTTTTTGCGGCAAATTTATTTATAGTTCATTGCATTTTATAGTTGCAATCGTATTAGTGTCTTTGGAGGACGTGATCTTTGACTGTTTTGCATTTTATAGTTGCAATCGTATAAACGCCTTTGAAGGACGCGATATTGTACAATTCCTGAGTTTGCAAACAACCTTTTTTGCGATACATTTATTTATAGTTCATTGCTTTTTATAGTTGCAATCCTATTAACGTCTGATTCTTCTAGGTTATGGATACTTCTGGATGTCCATCGGAAATACGGATATTTATTTACGCAACGTCAAGTCTCTTTTAGAACGATTTTTTATGGACATTTATTTTGTTTTCGAGAATAATGGCACGGAATTTATTAATGATAAAGTGAGAGGGAACGGAACAGACAAAATAACTTTTTGGTGCGACGAGAATAATAATTCGGCGTTTAGGGGTGTTCTCAAGGTCTGATTATTCTAGGTTATGGACACTTCCGGGTGGCCATCGGAAATCGAGCCGAGTCAAATGTCCCGCGAGATATAAACGAGTCGAGGATTTCCTTAAGGGGGGGTTGACATTTCCGGCTGAAAGAGAAAGAGGGTTTCACGATTTCCGAGAGAGATACTTGCTCCTGGGGAAAGTTCGTTGAATTCCATTAATATCGCTCCCCTGGGAAGAAGTCATGGGGGAATTTCCCGCGAAAACTCCCTAGGACGGAAAGATATTAAAAATCGAACTGACCTTCACGCAAGAACACTAATGGCGGATATGGCGCCAATGTTGTATGATAAGAATAAAAAGAGGTCACAATAATGTAATTTTATGACCTTTTTTGGTAGAACTTCGATATATATGTTTATATATGAACTTATGTGTGTGTGTGTATATATATACGTAACAAAAAGTGAAAATATTTATAAAACTTTTCTCCAAACTGGGTGCACCGAATTATCTGAAATTTTAACACATGATTATGGAGGCCCTATGGAAGAAGTAAAAAGAAATGAAAAATTAGGTTAGGATTGCGCACGTGTTAAAGAGCTGCATCAACATTACACTCTAATTGGTTTCATTCATGAGAACAATCATAACCACCAGTTTACATGTTTATAGATATCTTCAAAAGATGATATTTATATATATTTTCAGAAAATGATGTTTAAAGTATTTTAAAAAAATGATCATAAATATTTTGAAAAAAAAATTATATTTATAGATATTTTCAAAATTTTAATGAAACGACATGGGTATCAGGACCTTCCTTACAGCCTCCATATTCATGTTGCAATGTTTGAAACAATTCGATACACTCAGTTCGATGAATAATTGCGAATAAATGACTTCTCAGATGCAATTCTCGTACCACCTTAAACTATTTATTTCTAGGATGGTTCTCGCTTCCGTCATCTTTTTGTTCGTTATTGTCCCGTCTCTCTTTCATTTGTATACAGAAAGTAACTGAAATGAATGACTTCTCAGATGACACTTTCATACCACCTTAAAGTATTTATTTCTAGGACGGTTCTCGCTTTCGTCATCTTTTTCCTCGTTATTGTCCCGTCTCTCTTTCATTTGTATACTGAAAGCCTTCTCTGCTGATATGGCGTGTATGGTAAAAACGCATTTATGACCTCCAATCTACATGCAGTGTACATATCCCTGGAGGCGAGTCGACCTGTAATCCCGACCCGGGATTAGCGTTTTCCGCAAGGCGAAAACCAATCTCGAAGTTGGTGCGGAACTCCCGCAGCTCGATAACTCCTCTATTGATTCAGATTGCCTAATCAATCCCGGCACGATTAGGCGATGTTATCAGAGCACGTGCGTGACGTCACTGCCGAAAGATATGTATGTCTGTACTCTTAAGGTGAAGTGAAACCCCCTTCAAATTAGTCGATTCGAATATAACACTTTTTTAAGGGTATTTATTGTACGAAAACGACAGGTGGAGTATGACATTTGATACAATACCCAATATAATTCAACACAGCTGTCGATATAAAAACGAACTTCGCCAACGTAGGCATTTAGAAAAATCTTCTTTATCGACGTCGATCAAGTTCCTCGACATGTTTCACTTCACCTTAAGAGGATATGAAATGCGCTAATAAATTTAATCGACGTCGATAAAGATCATTTTTCTAAATACCTACGTGATTAACGTTCGTTCTTATATTGACAGCTGTGTTAAAAAAAGTTAAAAATAATGTAAAATCCGAATTTCAAGGCGATATCGATTTTGAATGTGCGATGTACCATTGGAAGGCCTTCAGAAAATTTCCGCGGCGTCTAAAAACTTCACCGAAGAACTGACACTAGGTGCATAAATTCCGACAAATCTTGAAAGAATTACCTTGAGAAGAGAAATTCATTGAACCAAAGACATATTCCTTTGGACAGTACCAAAGACATATTTCGTTAATTCAAAAAATAACCATTCCACTGGGAATCAAATCGCATAAATTGGACACGACAATTCTTCCTAATCGTGACAACTTATTTGCGCCAAATAATTATTCTCTGACTTAAATAAAATATTTCTTTGGTTCAATAATTTTCTTTTCCTCAGTGTAGAAATAATACAAGTATGGAATTTCGATTTTCAATTTTTCAGGGTTATCATTGGGAGGTTTTTGGGGGTTGTTTTCCATCCCCGAAGAGCAGAGGTGCGGCGAACCGCAGAGGCACGTAAATAAAATATTTCTTTGGTTCAATGATTTTCTTTTCCTCGGTGTAGAAATAATACAAGTATGGAATTTCGATTTTCAATTTTTCAGGGTTATCATTGGGAGGTCTTTGGGGGTGGTTTTCCATCCCCGAAGAGCAGAGGTGCGGCGAACCGCAGAGGCACGTAAATAAAATATTTCTTTGGTTCAATGATTTCCTTTTCCTCAGTGTAGAAATAATACAAATACGGAATTATTTTCAATTTTTCAGGGTTATCATTGGGAGGTCTTTGGGGGTGGTCTTCCATCCCCGAAGAGCAGAGGTGCGGCGAACCGCAAGGCACGACTCGGCAGTCCGTGTTGCGGTTCCGCTGCGAAAAGTTCCTCCCGTAGGCGGAACCGCGTCATTAGCGACGGAATCGTGTAGCTGCGGACGGGTATGTCAAAATTTACCAGGGACACCCCTCTTGGACGTTAATTATGCACGTCCGACTGCAACGACGTGCGCACCCCTCGGGGTGGCCAAGTAGCACTGTTTTCTTTTTTTTCACTTTTTTTACAAACATGATTTTCAAGAGGCTTTCCAAGAGACTCTAAAAATGTTTCAGTTGTTCCTCAGGCACCGCGGAACGTGGAATGTTCGTATATTAATCGTATATAAATGTTTATTGAACGTATGTTAGATGTATATAGATATCTATGAACTCTACTTTAGATTCACTGGCCAAGTAGCTCTGTTTTCTTTTTTTCTCTTTTTTCACAAACATGATTTTCAAGAGGCTTTCCAAGAGGCTCTAAAAATGTTTCAGTCCTTGCCTAGGCACCGCGGAACGTGGAATATTCGTATATTAATCGTATATAAATGTTTATTGAACGTATGTAAGATATATATAGATATCTATGAACTCTATTTTAGATACATACTCAAAGGATAGATGTCCGGACATGATACGTAATATATACGTATATCGTAGATATCTACAATAGATGGTCTATAGATATTCATATATATTTGGAAAAAAATTAAATTCATAACACTTTTCGAGCAGAGTCTGTTTGAGAACTTGTTCAGTACAGGTATGCAGACAAATCCTATTGTTTTTGACACAGAAAAATTTCATTGCATTTTCATAAGTCTGTGAAAGCTGAATATAAACTATGAATTTAATGTTTTCCAATAGTTTAGGTTTCTATACAGATTATCTAGACTTCTATGATATATATACTGAAAATATAGGCGCTAAAAAGATTTACATATATATTCGCGGGATATTTTTATTATGCATGCCATAGATAATGTATGTTTTCTATACTCTTGTCCTAATTTGTATTGTCACTATAAGCATATTATATATATTATAGATAGCATATTATATATAGATAGGAAGAACTGCAAGGCGTAAAGAGAGATAGAGAAATAGGAAGAACTGCAAAGTGCAAAGAGACAGAGAGACAGGAAGAACGGAAACGTGCAAAGAGAAAGAGAGCCAGGAAGAACGGAAAGGCGCAAAGAGAAAAAGAGAGACAGGAAGAACAGAAAAGTGCAAAGAGAGAAAGAAAGACAGGAACAACGGAAAAGTGCAAAGTGAGGAAGCAGAACGGGAAGAACGTCAAGGTGCAAAGAGAAAAAGAGAGACAGGAAGAACGGCAAGGCGCAAAGTGAGAAAGCAAAACGGGAAGAACGTCAAGGTGCAAAGAGAAAAAGAGAGATAGGAAGAACGGCAAGGCGCAATGAGAAAGAGAGACCGGAAGAACGTCAAGGCGTATAGAGAAAGAGAGACAGGAGGAACGTCAAGGCGCAAAGAGAAAAAGAGAAACAGGCAGAACTGTAAGGCGCAAAGAGAAAGAGAGACAGGAAGAACGTCATGGCGCAAAGAGAGAAAGAGAGACAGAAAGAACGGCAAGACGCAAAGAGAGAAAGAGACAACCGCTCAGTCCCCGAGACCGAACATGAAGTCGGAACGCAAATGGGCGGCCAACATTAAAGCAGCGAATGTAGAGGAGGGAGGGAGACAGAGAGGGAAAACAAGTAAAGTTGGCGACAATGGCAATTGTCCGGCCGAGCGGAAACGCGTTGTTCGCCGGAAACCGGGGAAAAGTTTAATCGTCCCGGCAGACTGCGAGTCGCCGATAAGGACTTGGAAAATTCGGAAACGCGACGGATAAGAGGAGGGAGGAGCTTATTTGTTCCCGTCGTGACGCAAGTGTATGTACACTGTGCGATTACCCTGCCATATTTCATCCGCTCCCTTTATTTCCGTTCTTATCGAGCTGGCGAGAGTATTGAACCTGAGGGATCGAACGGCGGGTTCGATAAGTCTTCGTTTTTTACACGAACCTCCTATCGTTTTTGCACAACGTGTTCTCTTCTTTTATTTCCTATCCTGTGCAGTTTGCCTCGAAAAATGGCGCGACGTTCTCCTTTTCGAGCCTCGATTTGTTCAACTTTTAATCCTTAAGGGGTTATACCCCTTTGAAATTTTCAAAAAATCAAAAAAATTGTTACGCCTTTATTTTACGCGTTTTTTTGTAAAACTGCATTTTAAAAATCGGTGGGCACTCTAGCTCCGCCAATTTTCAATCAATCGTCTTGATTCTATTTTTATTTTATTCGTGATATGTTTATCTAGCGAAATACCTATGGTTTTTTCAATGTCTTGATATTCGCGTTTTTTATGCAACATTATCACGTGTTAAAGTTTCTATATCACAGTTTGATATCACCATTAAGGCCGCAGAAATTGAATGTATGAAGGAAAATAGATCGGAGGAGACTGAGCGCCATTCCCCATGCATATACAAGCCTTTGTACCTCCGAAAGTCTCAAAGGGTTAAATTGCAACCCGCCGATAATTCCACGGCCGACTTCATCGGCAGCCGATTTGAATAATGGCGGTAACGCCGATTAAGTGCTACAATTACGCGACTCGTCCATTACACCCGGGACGGGAGAAATTTTCGCCGACCACGTTGTCCGGTTCGGACTCGAAGTCCTCGTGGTTTCGCCCTTAATTAATTCACTTTGCACCGGACCCCGTGTCTAATACCGGATATAGGGATCCTATGGAGATCCGGCAGTGCCCCAGGGTGTAATGGATTCAAGTGTACTCCGAGTTTCCATGTATAGGGTGGCCCGATAAGGAAAGAAGAGCTTTGTCTATCCTCTTGTCCTTATAGTCTGAACAGTTAGATTTTCACGAGGAAAAAATTTCCTCACTTCTTCGTCCTTATGGTCGTCCTTATAGTCTGAAGAGATCGATTTTCGCGAGGAAAAATTTCCTCACTTCTTATACTTTACTCTTTGAACACGGAGCCATTTCGACATATGGGCGAAATTCGGCTGACCGTGCGGGCAATATTGGACCAAACGTCGGGCGCCTTTCGGCGCTCTTAGTCGCCAAAGTGTTAAAAAAAGTGTCTTATTTAAATCGACTGATTTGAGGGGAGTTTCACTTCACCTTAACAGTTCATACAGTTGGATAGGTCAGGCAGATTGTGATAGTTCGATCCAATACCCTTAACCATTTGAACACGGAACCAATTCGACATATGGGCGAAATTCCGCTGACCGTGCGGGCAATATTGGACCAAACGTTGGGAGCCTTTCGGCGCTCTTAGTCGCCAAAGGATAAAAAAAAGTGTCTTATTTAAATCGACTGATTTGAGGGGAGTTTCACTTCTCCTTAACAGTTCATACAGTTGGATAGGTCAGGCAGATTGTGATAGTTCGATCCAATACCTTTAACCCTTTGAACATGGAGCCATAACTAAAAAATATTTCTTTGGCACCTGCAAATTAAATCCAAGAAACTGAGGTCGTCATATCACACCGCCTTATCAGAGTGCATCCAATTAGAAATTGCATTCAAATAACGTATTCATTTCAGAAATTAACATGTGCTAAATGTCTTATCAGAACTCACAAATATTTCATTGGCCCATGCAAATTAGATCCAGGAAATTTTGGTCGCCGTATTGCCCCGCCTTATCAGAGTACATCCAATCAAAAATTGCATTTAAATAAAGTATTAATTTCAGAAATTAACATGTGCAAAATGTCTCATCAGAACAACAAAACATTTCTTTGGCACCTGCAAATTAAATCCAAGAAATTGAGGTCGTCATATCACACCATCTTATCAGAGTGCATCCAATTAGAAATTGCATTCAAATAAAGTATTAATTTCAGAAATCAACATATGCAAAATGTCTTATCAGAACAACAAAACATTTCTATGGCACCTGCAAATTAAATCCAAGAAACTGAGGTCGTCATATCACACCGCCTTATCAGAGTGCATCCAATTAGAAATTGCATTCAAATAAAGTATTAATTTCAGAAATTAGCATATGCAAAATGTCTTATCAGGACTAAACAATATTTCATTGGCACATTCAAATTAGATCCAGGAAATTTTGGTCGCCGTATTGCCCCGCCTTATCAGACTCCGTCCAGCGCGCAATTGCATCTATTTGATAGTAGCCATCCGATAGCTCCGAAATTGACTAGGTGCATCCCGTGCATGTGTCAAGGCTCACCTACACGACATTTCGCCTATGTATCCGCGAGGTACATAACTCGGTAGTCGGACAATAACCCGGGTGGAGTTAGGCAGCTCGTCGCATTCCCCGAGGGTCGGTAACCATTTTGCAAGTACCCGAGACAAAGGGTGACCCCGGTGTACAGCGGGCCTAATGCCGCTTGATGTATGAATTTAATTAAGTAATTGTACAGAGGTGTGGTATGTGCATTAATCACTGCCCCGATGCAGTCTCTCTTCCTCTCAGATTCCCTCGTCATCCGAGTGAGTCCCTTTGATTTTAAACAGCATTCCACGAATTTTTTCCCAACTTTTTATCAATATCTCAAGCGACAAATTTCTTACAATATCCCGTAGATTTTACTTGAAGATATCTAAAATATTTATTGACAAAATTTCCATGACATATTTAGCATTAATCATTTATTAACACGGCTCGAAATTACATGGAAAAAAATAATTTAGTTATCATTACTATAGGGACATGGTTAAAATACCGCGGGAAGCAAAACCACACAAATGGGGAAATTTAAGGTGAAGTGAAACACGTCGAGGAACTTGATCGACGTCGATAAAGAAGATTTTTCTAAATGCCTTCGTTGCCGACGTTCGTATTTATATTGACAGCTGTATCGAATTATAATGGATATTGTACCAAATGGCATCCTCCACCTGTCGTTTTCGTAAAATAAATATCAAGAAATTGAAGTAAAACTCCAGAAATCCTCTGGATTCATGGTTTCTGAGGCCCTAATAGACTGCAGAGGGACCCCCTGCGCCATCTGTGATTTCCAGGTCAATTAAATTTTCACTCCAAGACCTCGTATTCCCATCGTTTTGGCATAGAAGCGGATACAACACTTTTTCTGCCTTTATCCCGTTCAAATGCGAGTTTA